AAGGGGCTTGGACTTCCAGCAGGCGTGCGTGAGTGTGTTCGATAGGAGTGAATGGAGACGAATGGTATTTGGGACCTGACGATCTGTTGGAGTGTGAGCAGGGTAATATTTAGTGAAGGGATTCAGGGAAACCGGTTATTTTTATATAGCCGGACTTGAGTCCTGGAAATGGGAAGTACAATGCCTGTACTCTAAAGGAGGAGTTCGGAATATTGGCAGTTTGGAGGGGTATGTTGTGTATCTTTATACGTATATGCATCTAAACTGTTGTGTTCTGGGCACCTCTGCAAAAACAGTGATTTTGTGTGAGTGAGGTGAAAGAGTTGAATGATGAAAGTATTTTCTTTTTGGGGATTTTTTCTTATTTGGGTCACCCTGCCTCGGTGGGAGATGGCAGACTTGATAAAAATAAATAAATAAATATATTATATATATATATATATATATATATATATATATATATATATATATATATAATATATATATATATATATATATATATATATTATATAATATAATATTAATATTATATATTCATATTACAGTAGGGCCCCCTTATATGGCAGGTTAGGTTCCAGGCTGTCGGTGGAAAGCAAACATCGCTGGAAAGCAGAACACCATTTTTTCCATTTATAAATGCATATAAATGCCAGACAACAAGTTTACACTAAATTATATTAAGTTACTAATAGAACTAGGCATTAAAAACAAAAAGTAAAATTCATACGAGAGGTGAGTAGTACTTATTTGTAGGAAGTCAGGTGTAGGTAGCCCTGGCTCCCTGTCTCATACTTAATATGCGATATTTAAAACAGTCCAGAGTTAAAATACACATACAGTACACTCATTATTTACCTTAAAATATGTGTAGTCTTAATGTAGGAAGAGAGGTGAGTAGTATTTATTTGTAGGAAGTCAGTGTAGGTAGCCGGTAGGTGTAGCCCGCCGGGGTTACACCTACCGGCTACCTACACTGTGGCCCAGAGCCATATTATTAGCATCGACACACTTGTTCACTGAATTTAATCGTTTCTAACAACTACCTTTAGATGCCATGATAAATGAAGGGAGAAGTAATGAATAATTCATGCCGAAAATTGTAAAAAGTGGAGTGGGGGTGTGGCTGGGCCAAACGCAGATTCATACACGTTTTCTCTGGTGCCTGACCAGAGAAAACGTAGTGTTGTCCCTCCGCCCGGCTACCACACAGGTCCATAACTATTATTATCAGAGCACATGCAAAATATGCAATAAATGCCAGACAACAAGTTTACACTAACTTATATTAAGTTAGCAATAGAAATAGGCATTAAAAACACAATAAAAGGTAAGATACACACAGAGTACACTTATTACTCACCTTAAAATATTAATATTAATGTGTGAGAGGTAAGTGGTAGGTGTTTATTGAATAAAATCAGAATGGCACACCATCGCCCTCTAACTTGGCACTTAAAGCAAGAGGCTTACGACTCCTCCTTTTATCACAGCTAAGCTTAGACGCCATCGTCAATGAGAGCCAACCAGCTAACAAAAGAGTAAACGAGAGAGAGAACGAGATACAGAGATCAGACAATGTAAGAACACAAACTGAACAGGTAGTGGGCGATCACTTTGTCAGGCGAAATAAATGCATATTAATATGTGTCTGCTTTTAGTTCATTCACATATGTTTGTAAGAGTTTATAAAACTTTTACCTCACAGTATTTTTTTATTATAATAATTACCTCACAATACAAATACTCTTACATTGTGTACAAGTTAGTATAGAATAAACAAACAGCAGCATTCCCATTCTCATGCAACACATCATTTTTAGTGAATGAAGATGATGATAGGAAATCCTGTCACAAACCTACTGGAGTTCTATGACAGGGTGACAGCAGTAAGACAAGAGACAGAAGGGTGGCTAGATTGCATTTTCTTGGACTGTAAGAAGGCTTTTGACACAGTTCCACATAAGAAATTAGTGCATAAGCTGGAGGACCAGGCAGGTATAACAGGGAAGGCGCTGCAGTGGATCAGGGAATACCTGTCGGGAAGACATCAGTGAGTTGTGGTATGTGATGAGGTGTTAGAGTGGGCGTCTGTGATGAGTGGGGGTTCCACAGGGGTCAGTCCTAGGACCAGTGCTGCTTCTGGTATATGTGAACGACATGATGGAAGGAATAGACTCTGAAGTGTCCCTGTTTGCAGATAATGTGAAGTTGATGAGTAGAATTCAGTTGGACAAGGACCAGGCAGAACTACAAAGGGATCTGGACAGGCTGTAGGCCTGGTCAAGAAACTGGCTCCTGGAGTTCAACCCCACCAAGTGCAAAGTCGTAAATTAGATTGGGAGAGGGCAGATGAGATGGAGTACAGTCTAGGGGGCCAGAGGCTACAAACCTCACTCAAGAAAAAGGATCTTGGGGCGAGTATAACACCGAGCACATCTCCTGAGGTGCACATTAACCAAATAACTGCTGCAGCAAATGGGCGCCTAGCAAACCTAAGAATAGCATTTCGACATCTCAATAAGGAATCGTTCAGGACCCTGTACACCGTGTATGTCAGGCCTATATTGGAGTGTGCAGCACCAGTTTGGAATGCATACCTAGCCATACATGTAAGGAAATTAGAGGAAGTGCAAAGGTTTGCAACTAGTCCCAGAGATAAGGGGTATGTCCTACGAGGAGAGGTTAAGGGAAATTGACCTAACAGCACTGGAGGACAGGAGAGATGAGATATGATAATGACTCATAAAATACCGAGAGGAATTGATAAGGTGGACAGAGACAGAATGTTCCAGAGATGGGACACGCAACAAGGGGTAACAGTTAGAAGGTGAAGACTCAGATGAATCACTGGGATGTTAGGAAGTATTTCTTCAGTCATAGAGGTGTCAGGATGTGGAACAATCTGGAGAGTTAAGTAGTGGAGGCAGGGTCCATACATAGCTTTAAGAAGTATGATGAATCTCATGGAGCGGCGAGAGAGTGGACCTAGGGGTCCACTCTCACCAAGAGGTGCCCCGTGGCCTGGTGGCTAAAGCTCTCGCTTCACATGGCGAGTGTCTGGGTTCGATTCCTAGCGAGGGTAGAAACATTAAGCATGTTTCTTTACACCGGTTGTCTATGTTCCCCGTCAGTTAAATGGGTACCTGGGTGTTAGTCGACTGGGGTGGGTCGCATCCTGGGACAAAACTGACCTAATTTGCGGGAAATGCTCTAAATAACAAGCGGCTTTCTATATAGTAGCATGTCGTTGATGTCAGCTGATTATTATTATTATTAGTAGTAGTAATAGTAGTAGTAGCGACCAGTGAAGAGGCGGGGACAGGAGCTGTGAATCGACCCCTGCAACCACATTTAGGTGAGTACAATTAGGTGCGTACACACGCACGCTCATGGAGCAGGGAGAGTTGACCTAGTAGCGACCAGTGAAGAGGCGGGGCCAGGAGCTGTGAATCGACCCCTGCAGCCACAAATAGGTGAGTATCTACCTACCTAGGAGCGATCAGCTAAAAGGCGAGGCTAGAGACTGAACTAACCCTTACAACCACATAATAGGCGAGTACAAACACACAGCCAATTAGCAATTGTAAATAGGCGTCCCTATCAACAAAGGTGCTGTCAGCAATTATAAAGCAGTGTTAATGAAGCATTTGTCACAGCACTGCCAACAGTGAACTTTGAAGTGACAACCACAGTACTTCCAACAGTGAACTTTGAAGTGACAACCACGGTACTGCCAACAGTGAACTTTGAAGTGACAACCACGGTACTGCCAACAGTGAACTTTGAAGTGACAACCACGGTACTGCCAACAGTGAACTTTGAAGTGACAACCACGGTACTGCCAACAGTGAACTTTAAAGTCTACCTTTACCTGGCGTGGGTGTTCACTAAGACGTTCCTTAATAAAGTCTGGAGACATATAGTATAAAATACCGACATGATGGAAGAGAAATGCAGTATGTGATCCTCTATTGACAACGTTTCGCCCACACAGTGGGCTTTATCAAGTTACGAGCATCTCTACCTGGGGAGAGATGTGCTTATATATAGAGGGAGCGTAGTGACAAGGAGTCAGGTCAGTAATGTTGAAATTAACTTCTGAGTAGACTAATGACAGGTTGGACCAATATAATGATAAGAAGAGGCTGGATTTGAAAATGTGGAGGAATATTACAGTAAGAGTAATGGCCCATACTGGGCAGGTCTTCAAATACAACCTCTTATCATTATATTTGCCAGGCAGTTATTAGTCTACCCAGAAGCCAACTTCATTCCTCACCTGACTACACGTCACTACTCACTATGCGTACGTCTTCTCAACTTGATATAACACCCACTGTGTGGGCGAAACGTTGTCAGTAAAATAGCGCATTATACTGCATTTTATTTTTTCATAAAAGTTATTTCACGACTACGCGATTTTCAGTTCTGAATATTCTGATAGTGTTTCTTTTGTTCAGTTAGTTGTATTACCCAAATATAACTAGTTAGAAGACTAGGAATCATTATTAACTTGATATTCCAGAGGGAGTTATGTCACTTGACAGTAGGAATGCTATAAAATAACACTTGTAGACAGAAAGCGGTCAAACCTAATCAAGTTAGGTTAATTATAACATGAAACGTAGACCGCACGTTAAAAGTCAGTTCACAGCGTAGACTATGAATACTGCGGTAGACCGCATACTAAAGTAGCACCGAAAAAGCTTATGGAATTTTTAAGAAATCCTCATTAGTCCACAGAAGTGCTCAGTTTTTTTTTTTTTTCTAAATTTCACTGTGGTATTTTTTTACATATTTGTAATTATGCTTATTATTGTGATCTCTTTCAAAGTAATGTGTATAGTACTTGCGAAAATACATTTTTTTATCTAATTGTAACGTGCACACTTGTCAATACCTTGGCAAGAAGGGTCCTGTGTGACTGAACTTCTTACTGTTACACAAAGTTCCTTAAGAAGACAACGAAGAAAAAAAGACGAAGGCAACGAGCGACCAACCTGACTGCGAGGGCTGGTCAGGAACGACGTGCCCTCTGGTAAGCTCTTGCTTGGCACACACTGATCCACGGCAGGGTATCAGCCCTCTAGATGACCACACGAGCATCGTACAACTAATGGAT